CGGGGATAAAACCCATCTACAATCTTTGGGACTTTCAGAGTTTCTCAGCACTAAAATCTTAGCTAATAGTAGAGGAAACGAATGAGTTTCCTCAAACAAAACAGATCCCAAATCTCAATGACAGCCATGCCTTCCCCATACAAAGGTAAATAATGAACCACTGAACAATGTAATTCTCTGATTTTTTTTTCAAATAGGAAACTTGACCCCCTAAAATTTGAACAGACGGTCAAGGATGGAGCATGGATTTCTTTCTCACCCCAGGTCAGACCCAGGCTGGAAGCTACTTCCATTCATCTATTCTAAAATACAGTTGGAAATGAGTACAACTATTTCCTCTCTCCACGTTAATTGTTTTGAGTAAAGGTGAAGTGGGAGGCTAATGACAGGAGTGCTCCATCGTCTCGGGCTGTGAGGACACAGCCCTGACTGGCCTCTTGCCACACTGATGTGGATTGAGAGCATGAAAAGACCATGGATGTTTCTGTGCCTCCATTTACCTCACCAATCAATTACACAGCACTTCTTGACTGGGAACACCATAGACAAAAATGCATTTCTTTGGTCACATCTTTTTACTGTACTGAGTTGACATTTTCCTATGTTTATCTTTAAAAGCAGCACTGGTGGGTCAGCTTGACATGCTTTTTAGACCATCATAACTTGTCTTGGAGAATTGGTTTGAGTTGATAATGTTAAAGCAAAAAAAAAAAATGAAACCCTGTCTACAAAACTGCCATAGCAGAAAAAGCAAGCCTTTTATATAACAGCCTTGATCAATGTGTTAACTACTCCACAGAATATTCAATAGCGCCCCCCACGACATATACACACAGTGTCCCACACATCAAAGGCTGGCAGGCAGATAGTGTCTAGGAGCATCCAGTAATGGGATTTGACAAGAGCCAGGCACTTTGGGCAGGCTCAATCAATGCTAATTAACAAGGAAGGGACTCAAAGGCAAATAGGAATCCATGAACTCCATGTGGTGGGGGCGGGGGTCGCTGGCTGGAGACCTCCCTTTCCCATTCACTCTTATATTTAATTACTTGTTCCAGTCAGTGCACTGTAGTCTGCCTTGCTGTCAGGTGGCTTTGGACTGATTCCATGTGTTAGCTGAGGATTTCCTTGAAAAGGAAACGTCTCACCACTGCAGAGACACCTGTCTGTGGAGACAGGAAGTCCTACTCTGCCATCTGGGTCTCAGATGTACCTCCTCGTGTGTGTGGTGGTGGGGGTACTTGTACACAGATAGAAAATAGGAGGTGCAAGATGGAAGAGAGGTAATGTCACATGACAGAACAGATTAATATCAATGGGTTATTTAAGTTATAAGAGCTAGTTAGGAACCAAGCCTGAGCTATAGTCTCTGTGTCATCATTTGGGATCTGGCTAGCAGGACAGAGAAAGACTTGCTCCAGGGCCCTTCAGCTCTCCCTCATGGATTGGGCTCATGAAGCCTCACCTTTCTCTAAGGGACTGGTGATGGTTAAGGGTCACTGAAGCAAGGAGTGTCATTCTCAGTGGTGTAGTCACTGAAATGCCAACCATGTTCTTTTAAGTAACCACTCACCGACCTATGAGCAATCCACCCGAATTAAAGTCAGTGACACACATACACACATGGGGAGGGGGAGAGAGAGAGAGAGAGAGAGAGAGAGAGAGAGAGAGAGAGAGATACACATACACACAGAGAGACAGATATGCATATAGACAGAAAGACAAACACTCTCTCTCTCACAGACACACACACACACACACACACACTCTCTCTCTCTCTCTCTCTCTCTCACACACACACACACATAGAGAAGAGGGGCTTGTTGGGAAGCAGAAGGGTTCAACATAAGGGGTGGGTTGGGGTAATAATGGGTGGATGACTAAAATTCATCATATACATGTATGAAATTGTCAAAGATCAAATGAAGAAACAGCTATTGAGCATGCTGGGAAGAGCCCAAAGTTTGGTGTAGTGTATGCCTGTACTGTCCCTTCTACACCTCTCAAGTCAGAGGACTTGGCCCAGTTACCTGTCCACTTTGTGCCTCAGTTTCTCCCACATGAAACAGGGGTACCTACTTCATGTTGCCATTATAAAAATTAAATGATTTAGTTCTCTTAAAACATTCTGCCTAGTGGGTAACATAATATGTGCACAATTATTAGCTCGGTGGTTCTCAACCTTCATACACCGCAACTCTCTAACTCTCAAATACAGTTCCTCATGCTGTGGTGATCCCCCCACCATAAAGTTATTTCATGGCTACTGACTTCATAATGGAAATTTTGCTACTGTTATGAGTCATAATGCAAATATTTTTTTGGAGATAGAGGTTTGCAAAATGGGTCAGGGCCCACAGGTTGAGAACCACTGTATTAGTTTATCACCACAGTTACTAACACCATTATGACAATTTCAAGGTAGGAAGGGGAGCTGGAGAGATAGCTCAATTGCTAAAGCCTAGGGCTCACAGTCAACACTTCAAGAGTTCAATTCCCAGCACCTATGGCAAAGCCCTGCTCTCCGACTTCCCTTGACATTTCAATGTAGAAAGTAGAGAACATTTTCTCTGTCTTATCTGTCTTCACATTCTGGGACTGTATCTGTAACACTCTCAACAATCAGGAAAAGCATTTGCTACACCAGACTGGGTAATCTTACTTCCTGCCTTCACATTTTGGTTCTTTCAAAATCCCAGGCATGGTGATGTAGAGTGTTGAGCATGCTCAAACCTGCTTCGTACAAATGTGCCAAATGTCCTCCAAAGTGGCCATTTGTGGGCGTCATTCCAAGAAGAAAGAGACTTCCTGGTCAGTGTTTAGAAGGAGGTATTGACCTACCATAATCATGGCATGAACCTGAGGTTGCAAATGGAGAGAGTAGTTCCCACATTTACATGTACAATAGCCATTTTCTTTTATATAGTATGTACATGTGTGTGTACAAGCACCTACAAATATGATTGCATACATACCACAGTACACACATGGAGGGAGGTGTCAGTACACATCTTCCACCTTGTATGAGAAAGGGTCTCCTGTTCACTCCTGCATACGGCAGGCTAGCTGACCCATACTCTTCCAGGGACTCCCCTGGGACTAGGAGTGTTGGGGTTATACATACACACAATCATATCCACTTTCAAGTGGGTTTGGGGAACCCAAACAAACTCAGGCCCTTCTGCTTGTGTGGCAACTTGTTCCTTCATCACCCCTTGTAAGGCCTTTTCTTTTAAGAAGATCGTGCCATCTCTGTGAGAGACAAAAGACATTGGACCTATTTCACATGGAGAGAAACTAAGGTATCTGGCTCTGTGACCAAGGAAGGAGCAGCAGCATCTCATCTCCTAACTTATGTCCCATGAATCTTTACTTTGCATTTCAATACCATTAAGCAGACAGGCCTGCGCTGCCACTAGGAGGCCATCCGATTGTGCTGAGTTGCTCTGTTCTTCAATAACAATGAGATAACCACTATTTATTGGGTGTGACCATATCCCAAAGTGTTTGCCTGGAGCTCACTAAGTAGACTAGGCTGGCTGGGCCAGTGAACCCTAGGGATCTGCTGCTTGTCTGTCACCAGAATGCTGGGGTCATAAGCACAATCCACCATGTTCATTTTTGGGTTTTGGTTTGTTGTTGTTTTGATGTGAGTTCTGAGGATCAAATCCAGGTCCTCGTGTTTGGATGGCAAGCTTACCAACTGAGCCATCTACCGAGCCCCTTAATGCCACTTCTGAAAGAGTGGTCTGGCTTGATGCAGCTGAGATCTCCGGCAGACAAAACCTCTTGTAGGTCTCCTGGACATTCTGATAAATCACTAAAGACACGCTTGGGAAGGAATTCAACAGAGACTTTATTGCTGAGTCAAGCAAGGTGTTTTATTGTAAGGTAGACATAGTTACAGGGCAGACACAGACACATCCCACCTGCAAGCCCCACTACAGACGCAGCCATCTTCAGCTCTTCTCAAGTTGGCAGACCCACCGAGGCCTGAACAAAGCAGTTGGTAAGGTCGTTGGTCCCCTACTCCTACCTGACCTTAGAAAACAGCATTGCCAAACAACCAAAATTGTCTCAAAGACTCAAAGTATCTGAAAGCCACCTTTGATATTTAAAACACTGTCTACTGTTCTAACTACAGAATCAGAGAGAACCTAAATCTCAAACTGTGAGGTGTATGGTTCTTTGTAGTTCAACATTCATCTGAAATGACTCACGGGAGCCCCAGGTGTAATACATGCTTGACTGTGTTTCAGCTGTAGCTGGCACCACAGATAAAGCAGTCTTTGGTAGCTAAGCAATGGGGCTCCTCTATGCCATCACCTGAATCCAAACTTGAGAAAACAGAAAAGACATGAATTTTTAATGAAAAGATAAAACCTATACTAGTCCAATAACATGACCCCATTGACCACCTAGCCTGAGACCTCAGTTCAGGAGACCTCTAGGAACAGAATCTGTTTGTTACAGTGGCAGTAGAGACCAATTGAGGAAAAACTGTTTCCTTCAGATGAAGAGAGTGGGTTGGTGGGTACCCAGCATCCCAGCTGAATCACCAAGCCACAGGACCATTCCCCTGGAAGGTGGAACCACCTTAACTCTTACAGAGATGAGAGGAATAATTACCCTTTTAATGTACTTTTCTTCTCCAGGATCCCACACTCTAGTGCTGTCCCTCACAAAGGTGTGGCCAAGCAACTTTGAAAGAGTTGCTTTCTCAACCACTCAGAGCTCTTTCCTTCCCTCCATCTCCTTCCTGAGCTGTTTTCATGAACACTTCAGCCTTCCCGCTTTCCTTAAAGCCTCCCCCAATGCTTCCCTGCAGCTGCCTGTTTGCCATTTGGTTGACCTTCTTGTTGCCTTAACTTAAGCTGCATGACTGCATTCTCTCCTCCATCTTCCACCTCTGGGCAGATGCTGAGATTTACATTTTGCCTTCTCCTGTGTGTGTTTGTGTGTTTAATGCTAATAATAAATGTTCTTGAACTTCTTTTGAGTCAGTTCTTTGTTATTTTTTATTAACGGGACTTAAGGGTTCCATGAGCATTCCCTGGATTCCCCAGGTGGCATGTAGTGACTCTGGCAGGACAGTCCTAAGTTTCTAATAACATCTTCATAAAACATTGCTAATTTGGGACCAAAATTATACCTGTTAAATCACTTCCTGTGTACAATTCCCTGTGCTAAGAAAAGAGAAATACAGGAGAGATGGAGAGAGAGAGAGAGAGAAAGAGAGAGAGAGAGAGAGAGAGAGAGAGAGAGAGAGAGAGAGAACAGCATGACCCAAAAGTGGGGTCCCAGGGCTTGAAGTACTTCAGGTTTAGTTCCGTTGTAAGAGTTTCTTGATTCCATCTTATGAGTGATGACATTCCTTCCTCACCATGTTTCAGCAACTTCCAGAAGACCTGAGAAGGTGGTCCATCTCTCTCTAGCCAAGTAATGGGCCTACAGGAGGACACACAGGGAAAAGGCCATTAAGAATGGGTGCAAACAATATAATCATTGAGGAGATAAGGGGCAGCAGGCAGAGCCAATGGGTCCTCACCTCCTCTCAGCTTGCTTCCCTTGCCTCCTCGTCAGAAGGGGGCTTGTGCGTTCCAACTGCCAGTGGTTTGGAGTTTGGCGAATTCTGCAATGATCACATTGGAGTCCATCACCTTGCAGGCCATGCAAACTCTGTTGATAAGAACATAGAATAAATCCTTGGGCATCAGTGACCGATGGAATTGTGTTCTGTGTGGAATCGTAAATAACAGACACACACACAGAAGAGGTATGGGAAGACAATAGAAGAAAACTCAGAGAGGATACACTACCTGCCGCCTGTCCCTGGGATTCCCCTAGGCAGCTGTGTCCTGGACTGGAGACTTGAAGTGATTTCTGGGACCTCCCAGACGTCTCAAAGCTCTGAAGGGACAGAAGGGATCATTCCACTGCCATGTGGGCACCTGAACTCAGAACTCAGCTCCTTGACAACCTTGGCCAGCCTGGCCCCAACTCTCCTGAGTGGATTCTGTCACTGAAATACTACACAATAGAGCAAAATGCAGTTGGAAATTAATAAGAGGTTCTTCGAGGGCTCCTTGTCCTGGGATAACCATCAGGGAAAGGCTGGGCAGATGGGCTTGGGGATATCAACCTCATGGGCTTCTCTTTGACAGACTCCATGAGGAAGTTACCTCACTATTCAGTGTGTCACCGAGCTTCCAAAGCCCTAAACATATTCCTCCTAGCCCGCAGTCCATTCCTTGATTGAATCTAATGCAGCCTGTTGGTTCTAGGGATCATATAGAACATGGAAGAAGTTTCTGTCCCAGCTGGGCTTCCCACCTGAGACAGAAGAGCATCAAATGAGTGTGAGAGACAAGAGACACATTGCTCTACTAATGACCCTCTTTCCCCTGCCTCAAATCATGGAAATCCCAGTACTACCATCTTGTCCTTTATAGAGCGCAGAACACAGGGTAGCTGGCACTCAACGAAGCACCCAGGCTGGAGTGCAAAACTGAAATGCTACCCAGGAGCACAGAGATCAAAGCATTCACAGAAACTTGTCCACACAAAAGCAGCTGCCAACAGCACACCAAACTGATAGACTACTCCAGAGCTCTCTGCGATGACAGAAATACCCTCTTGTCTGGTGGAGTGGTCACCAGTCACCTGTAGCCGTGGAGCCCCCTGCAGCAGCCTCGACTGAGGAATAGGTTTTGAAATTTTCTTTGAGTTAAAGTAATCTCACTGATCTAGTGGCTATTGTATTGCAGGCTTATTCTGTCACTCAGGTGACAGTTTTCCTCTCGGAAGAGACATGATTCTCCCTAGGCAAGAAGTTGTGGCTGAAGACTTAGGTAAAAGAGAGGGTGAAGTCCATGATAAGCACGTGGTTTGCCACCTGTACCTCAGCATGTCTCTGGATCTTCCTGCATACTCATCTCTTTTCTGTTAAAGAGGCACCTTAGGTCACTGTGGGTGTCATGTAACCCAGCATATGAGACTGAGCACTTCTCACAACCTGGTATAATGTAAAGTGACACTGTATCATGTGTAGATATAACATGCATGAACTCCTTGCTCTATGTTTCACGAGCAAACAGGAGAAAGAGAAGAAAGGATATAAATAATTGGGATCAGGAACTTTCACTCTGTGTCAGACTCTAAATGGGCGCCATGGAGTGAACACATGATCAGAGGTACTATGTTCCTTATTTTCAGTTCCAATGGCCATCACGGTTTTAGTGTACTTTTTAAAACATCCGTACACGTGTGCATGTATTCATGTGCATAGGTACACATGTGGGGGGCATGCACACATGTCCACATGCCCATGGAGGCGGGAGGGATGCCTTAAAGATGCTAGCAGGGACTCCAGTCTTTCCTGCTCAACTGCCGTCGGTCCTCAAGCGACTAAAGGCGGCCTTGAAAACGTGGGCCATTGCTTTGTTGTTTTGTTTTATTTTTGTTTTGTTTGGTTTTGTTTCAGACAGGGTTTCTCTGTAGCTTTGGAGCCTGTCCTGGAACTAGCTCTTGTAGACCAGGCTGGCCTGGAACTCACAGAGATCCGCCTGCCTCAACCTCCCAAGTGCTGGGATTAAAGGCGTGCACCACCACCACCCAGCTGTTTTATTTTTAACACTCTAGAGCCCCCCTTCAAGTTCATCATTTGAATTCCTTTTCTTACTGCCCTCTCCAGGTCCTTACTGGTGTTGCTTTTGTGGCTCACCGGCTCCCTGCATCTCAGCACCCATTTGAAAGGCTTTACAGTTCCAGCTCTATGCTCACTCCTCTCATTCACATGACCGGTGCAGCTGCTGCCTCCTGGCTGGACCAGCCTGACTCATCTCTCCCTCCTTCTTCCATAAACAGCTTTGTCACTGAGTGGATGGAAACACAAGCAAGCGTCACATGTTTGTTTTACATGTTCGCCCCCATTAAATCTCTTCCATCGTTAGCATGTCCTGACACCTCTGCTCTGCATCTCTACTCGGAACCTAAAATACAGGACTGAGGAAAATAATAGCACACATAAACTTGCTTTGTTTGTTTGTTGTTTTTTGAGATAGTGGTCCAGCTGACCCTGGGTCCTCCCTCCTCAGCCTCTTGAACACAGGGATTACAGATATACAACATCACATCCATCTTAGATCAAGTGCTTTGGTATAATAATGGGTAATTAATGTTTGAACTGCCTTCTCAAGGGAATTCCTGGGCATATCTGCCAGGGCCACTACCAGTCAGGTAGACACATGGTGTCCAGTGATAAAGAGCCTTTGACATCTTAAGTTTCCTCAGGTGTCAGCTCTCTGGAGATGATACATCTAACACAATGTGAGAGGAGACCATAACTCATACCCATTAGATATGCTAACCACTCCCACCCAACTCTGCCAACACCAACAGTCTCCTTTTCTACAGACAGTAGGAGACACAAGACAATACTTCTAATGCATAGGTTCTGCCTGCCTCTTCAATCTACTTGGATTGGAGGAAGGATGCGTCCCATTGACACATGCCTTCTCTGATCACATGGAGGTCTCATTTTTCTGCAGTGACTTTTTAGTGGCATTTTTTTAAATAAATAAAACTTGTCTGAAGTTCAGAGAATAAAACAGCCACACTGTCCAGCCTTACAGACCAGGCAGCAATAACATGTACCTTTGATCCCAGAAGCCACACTAATTTGCCATAGAAACTAGGTATTGCATGCCTTTAATCCCAGTGGTGCACGTCTTTAATTCCAGAGCTAGAGAAGATTATAAAACAAGAGGAGACAGTTCTCAGTCACAGTCTCATGCTGAGATTCCAGGAAGCAGGATCACCATTTCAGACTGAGGTAGAGGTAAGAGCCAGGGGTTGGCTGCTTGCTTTTCTGGCCTTCAGGTTGAACCACAATTTCTCTCTCTGAGTTTTTGTTAATCATGCATCATGACTCCTGCCACAGGTTCTTTGTCCCTGCACTGTGAAATACTATGTATATCTGTGTTATGAATCCATTTTGTTCAAGCTGAACTTTTCCTCAAGATGGAGAAAAAGTTCATAAAACTCTGAAAGTCAAAGAAACTTCCAAGGCTCAGGAAGCCCACAAAATTACAAGATTGACGAAACTTCTTTCTCAGTCTGTGAAAGTAGTAAAGGGTTCTGGGGATGTGGGGGCCTCTGTAGCTGAGCAATGAGCTCCAGAGAGGCGGTCTTCCCATGCTAGGGTAGACTTTTCAATAGTGTAAATGTCTTCATTTATTTATTAAAGTTTTCCACCTCCTCCCCTCCTTCCATTTCCCTCCCACCCCGCCCCGTCTCCAGTCCTAAGAGAAGTCAGGGTGCCCTGCCCTGTGGGAAGTCCAAGGCCCTACCCTCTCCATCTAGGTCTTAAAAGGTATGCATCCAAAGAGACTAGGCTCCCAAAAAGCCAGTCCATGCAATAGAATCAAAACCCAGTGCCATTATCTTTGGCTTCTCAGTCAGCCCTTATTGTTGCCACGTTCAGAGAGTCCAGTCTGATCACATGCTCGTTCTGCTCTAGTAAATGGCCTCACTATACTCACAGGTACAAGTTGACCTGGATAGAAGGACTTATTTGTTTTGTTCCTGGTGACCAGGCATTTAATATGTCCCCAGGAAAGTCACTCAACCCAAGTCATGTCTAGTGGTCAGCTCGGCATCCAAACTTAAGGAAGCCACCACCTCCTGGATCTTCACAGCCTACTCTGTCCCTGTCTTTAGTTGGCTTGGCTGAGAGCCTGATCTGCCTTCCACTGCTTCACAAGTTTCCCTCTGAAGAATCAAAGAGGGAAATCAACAGGTTCTGTCATCTTTTATGGATGTGGGTCTCTACAGACGGCTGCTTCCTCAATACTCAAACCTGTTCCTGTACTTTCCAAACCACCATTCTCATCAACAAAGATGCAGCAGAGGTGGTTGCCCCTTTACCCAGCTCCCTCTGATCCTGCCAAGGCATACCTCCAACTGCTAATGTCAACACCTCTTTGCAAGAGGGTTTTTTCCAGAAACTATCTTCTCTGGGCATGGCAGTCCAAGGATATCCAAGTCTTTGATAAGGGTCTGAGAAGAAGCCTAAAGCATAATTTTAAAACAAATAGTTTAAAGTGTTTCCCAGAATTATCACATAGACTTGAAGTTTGATGTGGGATTCCCCTCTGTATGCTGTAAATATCATTGGTTAATAAAGAAGCTACTTTGGGCTTATAGCAGAGCTAGAGGGGAACAAAGCTAGGTGGGGAAAACTAAACTGAATGCTGGGAGAAAGTAGGCATAGTCAGAGAGAAGAAATGTAGCCTGCTGAAGACAGATGCCCTGAACTTTACCCCATAAGCCACAGCCATGTGGCAATACACAGATTAATAGAAATGGGTTAAATTAAGATGTAAGAGTTGGCCAATAAGAAGCTACAGCTAATGGGCCAAAGCAGTGTTTTAAATGTAAATGTGTGATTATTTCAGAGCTAAGTGGCGGGAACAACCAAGTGGCCCTCCTTCTACAGAAGCTTAGCTACTCATAGTGTATGGTTGGCCGTCTAAGCCTATCTAACCTTCTCTCTCTCTCTCCCTCTCTCTCTCTCTCTCTCTCTCTCTCTCTCTCTCTTCTCTCTCTCTCCTTTCCTTACTCTCTCCCTCCCTCCCTCCTTTCCTCTGTGTGCGTACATGTTTTGCATGTGTGCATATAGCAGGTACAGGCATGGAGACCTGAAGCAAAAGTCACGTGTGTTTTGCAATCACTCTTCATCCTGTGTTTTGAGGCTAGGTCTCTCCCTGAATGACTGACTTGGCTAAACCATGTGGACCTTCCTAACTGTCTCCTCAGGGCTGGGATCACAGCTGCACATTGCCATACCTACAGGATTTTCTCCACTGTGTTCTGGGGGGTGAAGGGTCTTTGTGCTTGCACAGTGGATA